CTGCAGCCGGTGTCAATAGTAAGTGAATGAAAGCCCAAACAAAGGTTGCAAACGCAGTGCGTTTGCCTACCCCGGATCACATGGTACAAAAGTACCATGCGATCCAGTTACAGTGCGTTTGCATGCACTGCTTTTGGTGCAGTACTGTGGGATTTTAGCCCATTCAAAATGAATAGGCAGAAATTCTACCACACAGAACTGCATGTGAATGACACAGAAACACACAGTGCATTCCTATGTGGGCATACTGTGAGCCAAACCTTTTAGTAGAAAATCTCAGATAAATGTAAAAATAAGGACAAATTAAAGGGAAATATAAACATAAATTGCTGTAGACTAATGTTTTAGATTGGAGTTTATTCAAAGGATAGATGCAAAGTCTACTTTAACTGGTGTTTAATATTAAATTTATTTAAAAAAAATGTACAATATATAAATGTAAAGCGCTGCGCAAATTGATGGCGCTAAATAAGTACCTGTAATAAATAAATAAAATATATAAATTGAAGCAGAAAAACATATACAACTCCAGGTTAAAAATACCTGGTGCTCAAATGTATGCTGCTAGTGAATCTTCCTGATCTGTGGATGTTTTTGCACAGCTGTGCACCATATTCTATTACTGTGATCCTCATCCAGGGCACAGTAATACGTAGCTGCATCCCTCAGCTCTAGTCTAGATATGGTTAAGATGATTGTGGTGGAATCCACTCTTTGAATAAATCTTTCATCGTTAAGCTCTCTGTGATAACCACAAGAATAGGAAGATGACCCTGGAGCGTGCGCAATAAACTCTAGAGCGCTATTTGGGTATTGCCTATACCAGAGTAGACAGGTATAACTGCTGCTGGTTTGATAGGTACATTTGAGGACCATCTCTTCATTTTCTTGTCCTGTGCGTGTAGAAGGCTGGTCCACTGAACCTCCATTTACTGATCCTAAAGCATTAATAAACAGTTATATAGGTCATTTTCCAGGGCACGCTATCATAGTATAATAAACAAAATCTGTCACCTACCAGAAATTGTGCATATTAATATAAGTAACATCAGATTATAAAATCGCATTGTGATAATGAATGAAGATACACAGGGAACAAATAGTTGCATGAGCAGTAATCAAGACCCTTTTTAACCAGCCCTGTATGGTGCAGACAGCTTAAGAGGCATGTATGGTTTATGGGAGGAGTTTTTATTGAGTACAAATAGGAAATACGGTATGCAGTGCATAGAACTTAGTGCTAAGACTGTCATATGAAGAATTATTGAGATTGCCTGGCAGTGTACCTCTGCCTTCAGTATAGCAGAGAATCATATATTTGCATTATTTTCTCTATTTTTTTTTAAATGTTTACCATCTTTTACTCAATGTACCAGTGGGTGTTATACTGTGTATTAAATGATTCTTCCCTCATCAGGAGGGAGCATAGCCTCAGTACACAAGAACACAAAAACAAGGCAGGCACATGGCTTGGTGTTCCAGTCACTAACCTGGGATAGGTCTGCAAATTAGGAAATTCACAGAGAAGCTGGAAGTCCTTAAATGCATACTTCATTCATGGTCAGGGACTCTACTTTTAGAAGAAGAGATCAGAAAGGACAGTCTCTGTGTATCTCTCATTAAAATGTCTCCTTAACCCCTTCAAGCCTAAGGGTAAAACAAACCTTAACGCCTAAGCCCCATTTTGCAACTTTGACATTTGTTAGCAAAACCGTACATATCATCCCAACTACTTTGTACATCCAGGTGGATTATACCTTGTTTTTCTTCAGGACAAATTGGGCTTTCATTTGGTGGTAAATAAACATAAACCCTTTTTTTTATAGTTTGTATTTAGCTGTATTAATTGCTACTACCATAACCTACCTCCAAAGAACAACCAAAAATAATTTCTCTTGCTCCTGACAATTGCAGCGATACCACATGTGTGTATGTTAGTTGTTGTTTGTACCTATAGTATGGCCCAGAAACAATAGTGCACAATTAGTTTTTTTTTTTTTATCGTGCCACTAACTGACACTGATACTATTTTGAAAATTTAAAAAAAAAAAAAACCCTGACAAAAAAAATAAAACTGACCCTGACTTTGGCCTGTGACACTGACTTTGACCCAAGCACTAATCCTGGCACAGACCTAGATCAAACCTTGATCTAGGTATTTTTGTTTATTTTTTTATTATTCTATTTATTTATTTTTTACACATACAATGTATCTCTCTCCTCCATTCAGAGAGAGAAAATAAGGGGGGGCGGGCTTCACAGTGACTGATCACTGTGATAGCCAATCAGAGGCTATCACAGCGATCAGGTGACCTGAAATCGGAAGGTCCTGGGTCCCGATCATTAGAACAGGACCCGGGGCTGTCAGTGACACCCCGGACTTTGTGCTGGGAATGCGCTGTGTGGGGCGCTTCCAGCAGAAAGACAGGTACAAAAGCACAGTTCTGTGAGGCTGCTAATTTGTGTCACAGGGTTAAAGTAAAAATGTACTTTAAAAAAATTTGAACAGACAGGGTTTTGTTTGCAAAATAAAAGTCTCTTCTACATTAAAGTTTCTTACCTGCCTATATGCATTGGAGACATGAAGCTCAGTGCACAGCTTCTGCAACTGCTGAGGTGATTGAGTGCACTTGCATGCACAGAAGTGACGTCCTCTCGACCCAACAAGTCAAAATGGATGATGATCAGAATCCAGAAGAAAGCTGTCCAAAGATGTCAGCAGCCAGTGAGGGAACTCCAGGCACAGCAGGGCTAGAGTGGTTGTAGGTACAGTTTCACTTTAAAAACGCAATAAAAAAAAATCCTGATATTTATAGAGCTCAATAACTCAAGCTAAAATTTACACAAAATGTGAATGAACCACTGCAGTGAGTAACACCTATGGTAACTAACCTGTGTAGGAAAGATGTATATACTTACCTATTTTCAAGCTGCTCCTGTCCGGTCACATTATTTCCCGTGTGTTCACATTATTTCCCGTGTGTTAGCCACAAGCAGCTGCAGGGGAAAGGAGAGAGCAATCTGACATCAGCTAGTAAAGCCTGGACTGGTGATGTCACCCTTAGACTTTAGTGGCCCATCTGTTGTCAGCACTCCCTCCTCTCCCCTGCAGCCACACTGGCTATAACAGGGGACACATGACCAGTCCAGAGCAGCCTGAAAATAGGTACGTATGAACATCTTTCTTACACAGGTCAGTTAGCATAGGTGTAGTGTTGACTTCAGTCCAATAATATGCAAGCAAAATCCTGTGTTTTAAATTTTTCCTACACATGACTCGGTATTCTTTGGAAAGTGATTGTTTCACATTGTTTTAATACAGATTAGTGAAAATTACCTTTTCAAAATGAAGTTTCTTTGAAAGTGGACATGTTCCTTTCCTTTGGTAAATCAGGGTCAGTGTGTATGAACCAAAACAACTTCTGCTATTTTGTCTCTTTATGTTCAATCTGAGTTTTTTTTTAAAAATTTCAACAACAAAACCAGAGTGCAAAAAATACATATTGTTGTCTCTTTAGAAAACCCCTAGGGTTCTGGGAACCTTGTGCATGATATGGAGACATTTTAGAATGACAGCAGTGGGAAGGAGGTAGGTGATGGAACAATCTGCAATTTACACCAGCTGATTATTCATTCTTGTTGAATTCTTTATACTCCCCTGTTCAAAACCAACTCTAGGTGCACTAATGTGCTACATATAGTTTGCTAAAACCTAGTATATCATATACAATTGCCAACACTCTTGCAACATAAAATACAGTTTTCACATTTTTTTTCACCTTAGTGCTGTTGATCTCCTCCAGCTTTCAATGTCTTTTGGCACAGTTGCTTGTAGCCTTCACCAGGAGTGCAGGGTAACAACAACAGGAGCACGATTTTCACCCCAGAAAAGAAATGCCTATACAAGGACCTTCATGGCAAGTTCATTCTTTAACAAATGCAGCATATTTTAAAAAGGTGGAAATCAACTTTCAAAATACTTAAAAGGATAATTTCACCTTTTGTAACATGTTACATGGTACACCCATATTCAGGGTGTAACATGTTCCGATCAGACTGGGCCCCCACACCCCACACCCCCCACCTCCCCATTGTGACTCCCCCCCCCTTCCCCATTTTCTACTGCAGGTAGATTGGGTTTTCTGTCGTTTTTCCTCAACTCAGTGACATAAAGGGCAAATGCAAATGGAGAATTAGGTCAATCACAGTTCACCAGATAGTAAGGTCACTATGTTGTGGCAGCTTATAATGAATGCTAATTGGTTAGATTAAAGTAGATATGGTACTTCACAAGATCAGCAATAAGCAATGGCATTAGAAAACAGTAAAAGCCACAGTGATCCATACTGCAATATCTGCCCTATAACTAGTGGCCTATAAACACTTTAGAGTGCACTCTATGTGAATGGCAACAATGAAATTTAGGATTCCCTAAAAAGGTACCTCTTACTATGGACAACAGGCAAAGCAAACAGCAGCTGCTATGCTCTTTCTTTTCTTACCCATACTGTTCTGAGAAACCTTTGTCATTTATTAAAGGAATATTTGTAAAATAAAGATTGCATGTGTGTATGTGTATATTGTATATTCTGGTATATACTGTGTACTGAATATACACTTCAGCTCTTCAAGGTTTTACCCCCTTCATGACCAGGCCAATTTTTTGCACTGCACACTGCGTTACTTTACCTGGTAGTTGTGCAGTCATGCAGTGCTTTACCCCAACTAAATTTACTGTATTTTTCGCTCGCTCCATAAGATGCACTTTTTCCCCCCCAAAAAAGGGGGGTAATGTCAGTGCATCTTATGGAGTGAACGTAAAGGGGCCGGTCCGGTATTTCTGCCGCCACCATGTCAGAATATTGGGCCGGCCGCTCAGCTCTTCTCTCCTGCAGGACCTTACCTGTTCCTCGCTCCAGGGCTGCAGTCTTCCCGCGGCGGCTTCCGTGACAGCCGGGTGCCCACTGCGCATGCGCGAGAAGCGCTGTGCTTTGTGAATGGTCCGATGTCTTCTGAGACACATGATAGGTCCCAGAAGGCTCCGGGCCATTCACAAAGCGCAGCGCTTCTCGCGCATGTGCAGTGGGCACCCGGCTGTCACAGACGCCGCTGTGGGAAGAAGAAGGAAGGACAACTCCGCGGAAGTGGGAGCGGGTACCTGTCAAATTCAGGTACCCGCTCCCCCTTCCTTTCCCAAAGGTCCACAGTCTCTGCTAATCTCCTTTACTGTTTGCAGTCTCTGGTCATCCCCTGCATTGTCTGCAGTCTCTGGTCATCTGTACTATCATTCCACAGTCTGTGGTCATCATTCCCTGTACTGTGTTCGCAGTCTTTGGTCATTCCCTGTACTATGTCCGCAGTCTCTGGTCATCTCCTGTACTATGTCCGCAGTCTCTGGTCATCTCCTGTACTGTGTCCGCAGTCTCTGTCACTGTACTGTGTCCGCAGTCTCTGGTCATCTCCTGTACTGTGTCCGCAGTCTCTGGCCATCTCCTGTACTGTGTCCGCAGTCTCTGGTCATCCCCTGTACTATGTCCGCAGTCTCTGGTCATCTCCTATCCTATGTCCGCAGTCTCTGGTCATCCCCTGTACTGTGTCCGCAGTCTCTGGTCATCTCCTGTACTATGTCTGCAGTCTCCGGTCATCTCCTGTACTATGTCCGCAGTCTCTGGTCATCTCCTGTCCTATGTCCGCAGTCTCTGGTTATCCCCTGTACTGTGTCCGCAGTCTCTGGTCCATCCCCTGTACTGTGTCTGCAGTCCATTGGTTCAGAATATTTTTTTTCTTGTTTTTCTCCTCTAAAACCTAGGTGCGTCTTATGGTCAGGTGCGTCTTATGGAACGAAAAATACGTTTTTTTTTTTTTTTCACACAAATAGACCTTTCTTTTGATCACCACTAATTTTTTCATTTTTTTTTTTCGATATAAACAAAAAAAAAAGACCGAAAGATTAAATAAAAATAAAAAAAAAATCTAATTTGCTTCATAAATTTTGGCCAAAATGTATTCTTCTACATGTCTTTGGAAAAAAAAAATCCCAGTAAGTGTATATTGATTGGTTTGTGTGAATGTTATAATGTCTACAAACTATGGTAAATATATTGGAATTTTTTTTTTTTTATACTACTAATGATGGTGATCAGCAACTTGTGTGGCGGCAATCTGACACTAACTGACCCTGGGGGTGGGGTGACTAACTGCAACTGACATCACCAGTGACACATATATGGTGATCATTGATAATACCTTACACTGGCACTGTACTAATGATACTGGCTGGGAAGGGGTTAACATCTAGGGCTCTGGGCAGTGATTGGACACAGTTGATCAGCAGGTCACGGTCATGAATCATTGCTGAGATTTTCAGACAGACTCCTGCTGCATGCGTCCAGTAACCTACCGATATGTTGCATTGCCTGCAAGGGCCACCTTGTAAATTGTGGGTGGTCCTTAAGTGGATAAATGTATATACATAGTCTTTAAAGTAGAACTACGCTAAAAACTGTTTTTTTTGCTCAATTTGGATAAAGTGAATGAGGGTTGTAACCCCTGTAAGATTTTTTTTTTCACCATCTGTGTCCCATAGCAGAGATTTCCCTTCACTTCCTAAAAATTCTGAAGGACCCTCTGCCCACTGGTCAATACATTTTTTAGCAGACTTTGCAATAAAAAAATAGGGATCTTTAGTTCACACATATTGCATACATGTTTAAACTGGCCAACTGCGTCAAAGTAATCTTACTATGACCAGTCCTACTCTGCTCTGCCTAAGCGAATGCTACTGTGGACATAATGCTAACATAGGGGAAAAGACAAAGGTGTCCGTTTATGAACCAGCAGTAATAGATGCTTGCTGCTCAGTTCTCTGGACTTCTCGGAGAACACAGTTCTCCTGTGAATGTCGTTTATGAAGCATATGTAGATCAGTTCTCCAAACGAAGGGAGAACGGTCTACAAACGCTGGAAAACTGCTGATTTTACTATAATCTCGCGAGATTCCAGTAAAAGATCAGTTTACTAAACAGAGGTAAATTATCTCTGCTTAGTTTGCGGTCCCTCCGATTCTCCAGCTCTGGGCTGGAGAATCTGGAGGGAGAACACAGATCTCCAGTGAAGAGCTGATCAGTTCTCCTGGGTGTCATAAACTGTGAATGACCAGAGATTAGCTGTGATGCTCTGAATCGCAGCTATTCTGTGTGTCATAAACGGACACCAAAGTGGGAGAGAGCTACAAGGTTCAGGTCTGGCTACTGACCCAACAATACAACAAACAAGAGATACCTGTGCTCAAATCCCAACAGCTAGTGCATGCATTTATCCATCAGGTGCTAAATGGGTGTAACCACATATTAACACTAGAAATTCTGAAGGATCCTCTGCATATTGGTATATACCCTTTCGTAGGCAGAGCAGAGTAGGACTGGCCATAGAGGGATTACTTTGACACAGTTGATCAGCTTAAATGTGTATAGCAATATGTGTGAACCAAATATCCCTATTTTTTTATTCCAAAGTCTGCTGGAAAGGGTATAATATGTGGTTACACCCCTTTAGCACCTGATGGATAAATGCATGCACTAGCTGTTGGGATTTGAGCACAGGTATCTCTTGTTTGTTCCCTTCACTTCCTGTCCCATAGCCATACAGGAAGTGAGAGGAAATCCCTGAAAATGAAGGGAATTCCTTGAGGACCCCCAGGTCACCAGAACTAGTGTCCCCATTGGAAGATTTCCCCTCTTTTACTTTTGTGACAACCCAAAATTTGGGATTTTCTTTTACTTTCACTTTTAACCACTTCCAGTCCGGACACTTTTACCCCCTTCCTGACCAGGGCAATTTTCAGCTTTCAGCGCTATCACACTTTGAATGACAATTGCACGGTCATGCAACACTGTACCCATATGAATTTTTCACCATTTTTTTGAGACAGATAAAACTTTATTTTGGTGGTATTTATTCACCGCTGGGATTTTTATTTTTTTTGCTAAATGAAAATGTCCAAACATTTTGAAAAAAAGTGTTTTTCGTATAAAATTTTGCAAATAAATAACATTTCATCATAAATCTTTGCCAAATTGTATTCCGTTATCTTTTTAGTAAAAAAAAAAAAAAAAAAGCCAAGTTAGTTTATAACCAAAAATTATAATTTTTAAACATTTTGTTTTACATTTAATTTTTTTTTTATATTATTATTTATTTTATTTTTTTATTTTTTTTTACATTTCACCCTAGCATACAGTGTCACCATGGTAGCACTTTTGGGGGGTGACAGATTTTTTTTTTTTTTACACTGATTGCTTTTACACCCATATAGGATGTAAAAGCAATCATTTCTCTTACTCTGTCTGCATTCTTGCAGCCATTGAGAACTACTGAGTGAGCTGTGATTGGTCACAGCTTGTCACATGGTACAAGGCTGTTGTGAATAGCCTTGTACCATGTGATCTCTGTGATCATTCACAGATTTCACACGTAGTAAGCAATGATGTCAGAAGTGACATCTTGCTTACTACTTTGCATGTGATCACTGATTGGCCAATCAGTGATCACATGATCGGGACCTCGTACAGAGGTCCCGTCTGACGATTGGTGTTTCACTGTGTCTGGAGGAGTGCCCACAATCAGGGTGCGGGGAGGCCGTTTATAAACGGCCACCCGACCCTGCAGTGCCACTGTTCGGCTGTTTATATACAATGGCCGGTCAGGAAGTGGTTAATAATAATGGTAAACAGGACAAATAGAGAGGGTGAATTTCTCCAATGGGGGCACAGACAGCAATACAAACTGACAGGAGTTCTAATCCCTCTCCACTCTATCCAAAAGCAAATTAAAAATATTTTGCCTTTTAGTTACAAAGGGAAAACTATTTAATTACTCTTATGACTGATGCGAGAGGGGCCTGAGGTCACTGACCTTCATTATTATTATGCTATCTGTGTAATCAGCTTCACTGCTATTACTTACCTTGAGACAGCCCTTGCATGGAGACGATGGTGATTGGCCAACTCATTTAAAGAACATGTTGTACAGACCACATTGCTCGTGATAGCCAAGGATACCTTCTGGGTTCTTGGTTGACCCAGCTTGTATCTGCTCTGTGTTTACCATGTATGACACAGCTGATAAAACCTATGAAGCTAGGATCCACCTGTTTATCTGCTCAGGAACACCCAAGCCTTCATAATATGGGACTTTGTGGCCTCAAGGGTCATATGCTTCCCTCTTGCCCCACACATCCAGAAAACCCTAGGTGATGTGAGGAGGTCACCATAAGTATGTTTTCAAATTTTCAAAAAGATAATCTCTTAATGATCCCTGCTGTTATCCACTATAGGACTGGGTCACATGAGCTACTTGCCTTTGTGGATTCCAGAGCTGCCATAAATTGTATTGATAAAATTCTGGTCACCTGCTTATCTCTGGAAACTGATTCTCTGCACTGCCCAGTCTACCTGATTACTGTGGATAATCAGCCTCTCATACAAGACATAGTGCTATAGGTCACTAACACGTTCCAACTCCAAGTGGGACCTTCAAAGATTTATTGTCTTTTCATTAATTCCCCAACCAAACCTTTGATTCTAGGCCTTCCATGGTTTCAAGGTCACAATCCAGTAATTGAGCACATTAAATATTTTGGCTTGGTCCAATCAGTGTGTACAAACCTGCATTTCAAATTCTATCCAGATTGCTGCCTGCCAAGTGTAACAGACTCTGTCATGTTATAAGAACTTCCTGGATGTAATTTCTAAAGGGACAATTGACACTTTACTACCTCATCAAAGTTAGACTGTTCCATTAATCTCTTACTTGGCACTGCACCTCCTCGAAGGAGAGTATGTCCACTGTCTGAACCAGATGCCACTGATCCTGTTCCTACTGCATCAGTCCAGCCTGTCTCTATGTCTCCTATTTCAGTCCAGCCTGCCTCCATCTGTTGCAGACATACCAGCTCCTGTGCCAGGTGCTCCAGTCCTCAATGTCCCTGTACCAGCCAACTCAGTTTGGCCTGTCACAGTATTTGCTGCAGATCAGTCTGCTACTAACTTAGTCCCAGTTCATGATGTTATTGCCAATCAACTCAAGAGAAAGTTCCATCTTTGACATCCAAGTAAGCTTGAGGGTGCAGGAGCTACGCCTCGAAGAAGGGGGGGGGGGGGTAATGTCAGTTCCAATATTTATACTTTCACCGTAAGACAGAGCAAACCTTACTTGTAATAGCCCTCACCTGAAAAAGATAGTGATTGGTCAGCTTGTCGCTGCTCATGTTTAAAGCGCCTGTTGTACACACCACCAGTGCTTGTGATCGTGCATGATACGTTTGTGTGCTCTTGTCTGACCCAGCTTATATCTGCTCTTAGTATTACCATGTATTATTTGGCTTTCTCTGATTCTGTTCTCTCCTCGCTGCTGTCTGTGAATATGACTAGGATTATGGCCATGTCTATAGTGCCAGTGGGCTGTTAGGAACTGTTACCTGGCCATGCAGCTTACAAAAAACTGACCAATGTGAACACTCCAGTTTTATACTGATCCATGGTTTATAAAATAACCAAACCATTCTTTTATGTTCAGCAATCAACATGATTACATTTTACTTGAAGACCCCTCTGCCTCAGATATAATTTATTTTCTTATCATTTTTTTAGGCTGTCTTTCATTTTGAGGAATAAATGCTAAAAAACTAAGAGTTGTTTTAGTTGTAGTAGGAAA